TTATGTAAATGTTCAGTATACATCCAACTTATTTGATTTACCTAAATCAATCTCAACATCCCATTTTATAACCAATTATTCCCAAGTACAAAATGAAACAAAAAGGAAAGAAATCCTATTTACAACGAAGAAGTAAATTTGGGGAACACTCCAATGTAAATCAAGATATGCGTATTGTTTGGTTAACCCACTTCTTTTAAGTAGTGTCTGACTGCTTGAAGTTTTGGCTCCGTCTTTTGTCCTACTATATGATATTTAATGAGCACACTGTAGTCCAGTAAAATAAATTCAGAACTCAAACAAAATATGAAAAAGCATTTAAACTCCTAGCCCGGTATCCCCCCTGTAGTCCTACTTAACCTATAACTAGTACTCCCAAGCAACATCATTCTCAACCGCTTCTTACAAGGATATCCCCTAGCGATTTCCTCACCATCTAATGTAGTACTAGGTTTTTCTTTCTTTTTTTTTCTGCTCTCACTTCCTCCTAGCATCCCCGCCTATTTCGTAATACCTGTTAACACCCTCACCCTACCTATATTACCTTTCCGAACACCTATGCCTACCTATCCATACTTCTCTCACCCTCCCTCTTTCTTGTAAACTTATTTGTCCTTTGTTTAATTTTCTGGCTGACCAGAATCATTGTCATATCTTTACCCTTAAGCTTTTACACATACTCATCCATGCACCCACAGAATAGTAATTGTTCTCACTGGTCTCATACCATAACCCACCCGCTCAACAACCCACAAATAAAGCAGAGTTCCAATCACATTACTACCAAACAATAGTGGACACATCTCACCTCCACACACCGGCCGGGCACACAACACACACTCACTAACAACACCCACACAAACAATAAGATTCACATAACACTACCACTAGAAACTATTGGATGCATCTCACATGCACACACATCGGCCCTTACTTGGCCATACACACACACACACCAACAACACACACAAACAACAAAGTTCAAATAATACCACCACCAGAAAATGTTGGACACATCTCACATACACGCACACCAGCCCTTGTTCGACTATACACACACACCAACGCTAACATGGACGACTTAATTGAACACCCCTATTGTCACCAATATCGACGCACCAACACTACCGTCCATTTGCACCAACATCAATACCTCGAAATTTCAAACCAACAATCCTCCTCACTTTCATATCCCATCATTTTATAGTAAATGACAAGTCTACTTACTAATTTGTCATTCTCTAGATAAATCGACTTCCACTCCTCTCCCTTTACTTGGCCCTAATTTTTACCTTTCTACATTTTTCACTCAGACTTACTCTCCTACCTACGACCTCAACTACACAAATGTTTAACTTCCTATTTAAGCTCATTTTTCATTGAAATAGCCTAATCACTCCATTAAACCTCACTTATCCCTCTCAACATGCTGCTGATTCCCTCATTTCTTCTTATATAACTAGTTAGTCCCCATCTACGACCCTATTTGGATACATTCCCAATGTACACCTCACACTACTCTACTTTAGCCTGCTCATCATGTTTCTCATCCTTTCCAATTGCGTTATTCGTCACTCCTCATCTCTCCACCTTTTCAAACCTCAACGATCATTTATTCAGTAAACCAAAAAGAAATTCATACTGTGTTACCATAACAGAGTTTGAAATCCTAAATTTATTTATCTCTTAGTTCCATCGTCTTCTAGATTAGTAGAAATCTCCTTCTCTCGTACTTTCTTTTGAAATTTCTCTCTTAGTCGCCCATCAAATCTTCAAAGCTTGATTGAATGATTTGTATGATGGTTTCTTAATGTTGGGTATGGTATGGTATATGCAAGATTTATTAATATTCAAATTTAACTATGTTTGGATGATAGTCTATTAATGTCTGGTAGTGACAGCCATTTTTGTTTGCATTGACAGTATGATATGGTTGTATATTTGAACAAATTGTCTATTTTGCCTATATTTTATTGTATCTAGTAATAAATAAAAAATAAAAAGAGAAAAGTTAAAAAAAATATGTAGTGTTAAATATAGAGATATATAAATATATATAATTAAATATATACATATATAATATATATATACAATTAAATATATTATATACATATATAATTAAAATATTACATACATGTATATTTATAATTAAAATATTATATACATGTATTTATATATAATTAAATATATAAATACATATATAAATACATAAATATATAATAAAATCGATATAATTAAATATATTATATACATATATATATAATTAAAAATATAAGTACATAAATTTAATTGAATATATAAATACATGTTTATATGTATACAATAAAATAAATAAATTGCATTGTTAAAAAATAAAAAAAAAATACATAGTTTCATAAATATAAGAGCTTTAAAAACATAACACTAGTTCAACTACTCTAAATACAAATATTTTATAGCGTCATCATTCATTTACAAATGTAAATTAGTCCAACATAGATTAAAATACAAATTAAACCATCGTAAAATAAAATAAATAAGTATAGGTGTTTATATAAATTCCGACCAACCATAGAAAGAAATATAATACATCATGCAACATAACTTTTGCAACATTCCTACATCTAAACTCGGGTCTTGCACGGCAATAACAACATCTTCCGTTTCAAATACCTGCAAAAGTAAAGAAAAGTAAAGAAAAATAAAAAAAAACAAAGATTACAAATTAACAAGTTTTTATATATGTTATTACCTAGTTCTGGAAGCAAATTCTTTAGAAAATTCTTGCGACCTTTAAGAGGACAACTTAAGAAACTAGACACTATATTTGATTCTTTCAAAAAATAAATATAAGCTTGTGATTTTTAATCTTCAGTGAGACTCAAACGACCAATTTCTTCATACAGCTGAGTCGATGAAACATGTTTTGTTGATACCATAGTATTGAGTGCATCAACAATCATTCTAATTTTCTCAAGTAGATAATCATTTTCTAGAATACCATCCAAACGTCTTGATTTACTCGGCCTTGAACAACTTAGTATTTCACCTTCGAGTTGTGAAGTAGGAGTTTGAGGCATTGGATGATCATGGAAAGATTCCTCACTATTGATGTTGATATTAACACAGACATTTTCGGGACCCATACTCATCACATCCTTAACTCCCATTGCATTTGTATTAACATTCATATTCGTTTGTCTTCGAGAGGTACGTGTTGTGTCGCAACCAACTCTGTTAACTCTATCTTTTCTAAACATTTCCAACATTTTGGTATAATTTTAAACCCGTTTGTTCTTAAGTTCAGCTGCTTCTGGATAGGCTATTATAAAATATGATATTAATATTTAAACTATAAAAAGTATTGCAAATAACATATGAATCACTTTTTGATTTACCTCTATTAGTTGTTTCTAGACCTCCTCTTCAGCTTCAAATTTTTCAGTTAACGGATTCTATGCAAAACCACTCAGCTCATATTTGAATATGTCATACTATTTTGAGAACTGCTTTTTAAAATTTTTAATGTGCTT